TACGAAATTCTCAGAAAATAGCCGAGATATTACAGGAATTCTCAGAATATTTTCATAGAGAATGAATTGGAAAGAACGAATCATTTGATTACGGATTGTGCTGATGAATAACAATTAAATACTTATTCTAACACTACAATATTCAAGATAAAGGTCACAACCAGTGTTAGCGGATTCGAGGACTGCTGCGGGATTAGACTCGGATATAAGTAGTAGAATCATACGAAGAGGAAAGAATTAATGCGGTGTGGACATCCAGAGACCAGGGGACAAGAAAATTTGCAAAAGAGCACCAGGAAAAATCAACTAGTAATGGAACAAAGCGCGTCAACCACGTTGAAATCGTGGACTTACATTGGCGTAAAATAAGTAAATATTGAAAAAGTGTTAAAACTTCTTGAAATACATTTCCATTGATTAGATGCTGAAACTCTTCATGATTGAGAGTGACTGTTAAATGCCAAAATAATTGATAACCTATACCAATGGCAATTGGGTTACATAAGAAAACTAAGAATTTACCAAAAGCTGGAGCAGTCTATGGAAAATGCGTACAATATTGAAATTGATGTCATGTCAATTTGTTCATGTACAAATTCGGTGCAATGTGCCGACGTAACGATATAAGTATTCGTCTCATCAAAGGAAATTCACAGGAAATAAGTTTTTCTGAAAGTCTGCAACGATCAATCAGCTGCATTAGATGTGCAAATATGACTCAGCCGCTTAACTGTTCTTTTTTTATTGCTGTAATGGTAGTAGAAATGAAGACATACAAATTCTTTTACTTATTTCAAAGTACGTTAAAAACGTTATTAAGTTAAAAAATTTTTATATACAAAGTGACGCTCTGCATGATAACGCTCGACTTCATGTTGCAAACGCCGATCGAAGACGTCATGAATAGCCTGAGATAGGAGGTTATAGGAGGTTTCACCTTGCCCACCTTGGTCTTCCTATATTGCACCGTCAGATTGTCATTTGGAGTAACTAAATTCAGATTACAATTTAGCAAATTTAGAAAAAAGTTTTACTAAACTTTACCAGTCTGACTTACGAAATTTTTTTTCCATGACATTCACAAATCACCCAAGAACTGTTAAAGTATTAATATTAATGATGGTAATTATATTCAAATAATCATTAGTGCAAGAATTTTTCGCATGTATCAGCAAATCATACTGTAATGACGGCGTGAACATATTTGCACACTTCATATTTGAGGATTTTATTATGCAAGCCTACATATTCATTCTTCACATAATAGATATCAATTCTTTTACAACAGATCTGTAGTCTATTTTCTTAACTCTGTCAGGTTTTGAAGACAAATTAGCATCTTCCAAGTTACTGTACCACCGGCGTTACTGAAATCAAATAGCTAGGTTTTATGGCCATTCTAGATCCACCACACTCTAATGAGATTTTCCACACTTTTCGTACGAAACTAATAGGTTAGCAGTGGAAATTTAATTAGATAGCATCTTTTACAAGCAGCTTATAGAAGCAGGAGCAACACGCCAAGAAGGCTGTGACGACTACTAAGTGAGCTGTGAATTACAGTTCAATGGTCGAGCAATGGATGTGGTTCTACCACAAATTATATTTCTTCTATGAGAGTGGACATTTTACGCTTAGAAATAACATCGAGTACACAATGGTTAAGCGTTTGATGTTCAAACTCTGAAAAGTAAGCTATTCACTTAACTGGCTAGGAACCGTGGAGAAGAGCTAATGCACTATTGTCTGACGATTCTCCAGCCTTAATCAAATGGAAGGCTTACTGTGCTCGGAATGCGGGATCTAAACAATGACCCGGTTAGCACTGCAGAGTATCTCTAATCACTTTGCAGTATAATCCTGCCAAAAACTAGCATACGATCAATGTTCAGAAAAGGCTACCAATAGTGGTGGTGATAGTCACTGATGGATAATCGAATGGCCAGCGTACGATTTATAGAACGGCTTGGTTAAAGTCAAACGTAACCTCCAATATCTCTAAAGTAAGCTTTGTCGCAGCTTATGACTTAGCACATCTAAAACTTCCACCTGTGAAAGATCCAGCACTTTATTGATTAGCGCGACTATGTATGAGCTGGCTCTGAATTCTGGGCTTGAGCTTCCCCATAATAATGTCATCGATAAGCGCTCGGAGTTAGCATGCTTGCACAGAAACACCGCAAAATTTTGGTGGCAACGTTTCGCCTTTTTTTCAGAAATTTCGACATTTGCTTAATCGTTGAAAGCAAATGAAAGCAAAAGCCAAAGGTAAGATGCTGAATGGGAAGTGTCAAAATTAATCACGCAATTCTCATATGTGATTCATTTCGCGTTTACGAGCGAGCAGAATCAAGTATCGTTATGTAGGAATTAAAAGAAACAAAAGACTGCTTGACTGGGTCTTAGTTGAGGTCAATCTCTGATTAGTGTAGGACATATGATGCTGACGATACATTGAAAAAAGACGGAAATCCACAGATATGGAATATTACAAAGACTCATAATGGACAATGCCTCTTTTACCTATTGTAAAAATCACCGAGGTTTACTGAGTCATATTATAAAAAGCCTTCTCCACAGCTTGAAGGTTGGTCTTGGCGACACTAATGTACATTATCCAATCCATATTCATGGCTAAGCCAATCATGTGGCGTCTTTACTAGCGTACAAGAAGACACAAGTATGAGCATTTTGTAGCTGCTTCGCAGTTGGTTGCGGAGCGGTGCTTGAGAAGCTGGATGCACTCCTAGGCACCATACCGTATTCAGCGTTCATTTCTGTCGGGCTGAGAGTTGAGAAGTTTATTAATTCTATTTTCCGAAGAGACATGCTATGATTCAGAAATTTGTGCGACTTTGTAAGCTATTTCCCAACTATAAGTACACGGTAATTCCACAAGTGGGGCACCGCGTCGACTGGTTGTGATGCTCGTCGCAGCGCGCGCAGATTAAATCTCGCCGTCCGACCCTCCGACAGTCAGCAACGAACTCCTTATGGATTGCCATAGCCAGGTTAATTTCGAGATTGGAAGGAGACAGACTCGACCAGTATTCAACGATGTTCGAGAAGAAAACGAAAGAACTAGTTGAATGTTAGAAGTAGTGGGATCCGCGGTGAAAACACACATACATAGATACATACACACACACACACACACACACACACACACACACACACACACACACACACTGTGAAGATGGATTAGTAAGGTGTCAAAGGTATTGTGAGCTTGTTTTATTTACGAATCAAGGCGGATTGCTAACGAGTTTATTCTATTGGGAAGCATTATGAAACAAGCGGGCAAGTTTTGCTTCAACAAACGTACGGCGCAAAGTTTGGAGCATCGTCGCCAAGAGGCGGCAGTGATGGGAGACATTTGCTATGTTATAAGTAAGAAACAGATACAAGGACATGTCGACTATGTGATCACCTCTTCTCCCCTTATGATTAGTCATAAAGATTGATGAAAGTTCAGTAAAGTTAGTGACAATTTGTTACAGCCAAAGCATTACTCAACGCGTGTATTTATCTCATTGATTTAAAATAAAAAAATGACAAGATCAAATTAACTTCAATCAATCGTTTGACTGTCGCACTCTAATAACCATCACCTTGGTCTGGAGACAGATAAACTCTTTCATTTTTTAACAGTTTCTGCTCTCACTAATATAGTCAAACTCTGATGGAATTGATAAAGCCTTCGAATGCAGTTTTATACAAGTCTTGACATCTGACAATGTTTTGAAAAGCTAACCTTTCTTTGATGGCAGCACTGAAAGTCATTAATATTTTCTAGTGTGGTTTAGCTAATTACACGGAGTTGCAAATATACCTAAGAGAACTGAGTGATGGGCAAAAATACGGTCTCAGGCGGGAATCGAACCCGCGTTTCATCCAACCGGGACGCGCTGGTGGCGATAATGTACCTCGGTGGTGTAGTGGTAGTAGCATCCATACCGTGAACGCGCACTACTACCACTACACCACCGAGGCACATTTCCGCCACCAGTTATTCTTCAACATCCCTATGTTAGCTATCAGCCACCAACCTTTAACAGGTTTGGTCGGGTATGGAGTATTGCATTTAACAGTGGCTGCCAGCTCAACTAGGTTTATAAGGCTAAATCGCATACCCAACCAAACCTGTCAAAGGTTAATGGCTAATAGCTAACATAGTAATGCTCAAGAATGAGTAGTGACGCGAATGTGCCTCGGTGGTGTAATGGTAGTAGCACGCGTATCCGGTATGGACGAAACTGCGGGTTCGATACCCTCCTAAGGACGTGTTTTTGCTCATCTCTCAATTCTCTTAGGTATATTTGCAGCACCACAACACTGCTAAATAAGCAGCAAAGACACTAGAAATTCGGAGAATATTATAGCTACGGAGTTGGCGAAAAAAAAAGTGTATTTGGCGAAAATTTTAACGTCTCCTTCATTTTCAAAGGCACTGTTTCTAGTCAATGGAAACATTCGACATTTCATTTCTCCTTGATGTCCAAAATATATGTATATTTTAGAACGTTTTATACATCTGTGCCATAATTTGACCCTTCCGGTCATTCAATTTATCTTTCATTATCGAAGATGAGCAGCAGCCTCAATAAGACGACATGCCGAATACCTCCCTGTCACCTTGTCGATTATAGAGCTGTGTGTGATAAGTGATCCCCCTAAGTCCCTTTCAGTCACATTAGCTGTTCAGTGGTTTGCTCAGTACAGTTAACACCGCATAATCGACACTTGCCCATTATCTCTTTTCTAAGGGTCATAGACCGTAGTAAAAATAAACTTTTCGTTTCGAGTGTTTTCTTAAGATTACGCTCAAATTTCATTGCGCCTGTTCATTGATAGGTTGGGGAAAAATTCTGAAAAATTGCTTGTAAAACATTTATTTGTGGACCTATTACACCCAAACAAAGACAAAGCTAATAGTCAAAGTATTCCCCTTCAATTTCAAGCACTTCCTGCCACCTCTCCAATACCGTACTTTGGCCATCTGTGTCTTCGCCCCAGGCCAGATTGATTCGTTCACATGCCACAGTTGCACTTGAACCCATCAGTCATTCGCACATCATCAACAACCTAATTTGCTCGCTTGTTCATTTCATCTTCAAATAAGTAGATAAATTTTATACCAATCAACGCGGGGGAAGACAGGATTTCGAATGAGCCCGAAAACACAAAAAATGGCCAACACCCAAAGAAGTTACAAGCTTTTCTCAGAACTATTTCCCCAACCTATTATTTTCAAGCCATGCGTGTGGTTTATCAAAAGGCTTAAGCAGTGCAGTGCATGTGTTTCGTCCTTGCTATCTAGTCAGTTGCACAGCGCCTTTCCTCCGAGCCAATCCCTTTCGGGGAAGGGCCTCCCTACATATACAAATCTCCGACATATTGTTTGTATATTCGAGGAAGAATAAGAAGAAAATACTCGAAACGAAAGGTGTGATATATCACAAATAACAAATAAAAGCAATCGAGTGTACAACACTACTCATTTAGTGATTTTTCTCACTTAATACTTAGATACTTACTTGAAGACTTGGACGGTCCTCTTCACTAGTTGTGCGGACACCAGCACATAATCCATTTGTCCCTTTGCTGCGCGACAGTCGTCCATGATGGTGGGCTACTTTGAGAATGGCGGCTAGTGCCAGTGTCATGCCGTGATATGAAAAATATCGGAAGCTGCAAGTACAGCAGCTTTATTCTTTTAGTAAACACGTCAGCAAAACGTGTAGGTGGTCGTCCTCGAGGACTCGTGCATTGTCGTGTAATCTACTATACAGTTCTTCTAATCCATGTGCAGTCTGTTCTTTTCAATATATTACCAACCCATGCGTGTTTCGCAATAGATATGTGGGTCACAAAGAGAATAGACTTCGAAGAACTGAGCTGAGCAAGCAGGCTAGGTGTTGTGTGCGCTGACTGAATTATGGAAGAAATCGTCCAAGAGCTCTGTGAGTTGTTCGTAGCAGTCTTGACGTGGTCGCACGCAGCATGAGCCTCAAATCACAGCTGCATAGCAGAACGCCAAGAGGACCGTTGAATCGATAAGGTGAGCACGGAGTTTTGGGTCCGTTAGCTGGTCGATGGCTTCCCTGAGAGGCCTGAATACGGCCCATGCTGGTCTCCTTTTTTTTATCTCGCTCCTCCTTTATGTTGCTTTCCATGTTCAATGAATGCCCAAGGGACACACACAGGTGGTTTTTCCTATCAGAGAACCATTCATGCGGACTTGATCACCATTTCACCATGAATATTTTGATTCCTTTAATTCCTCTCACTTGATGGTTCTTGTGAAGAAAACGTCTGCAATTCCTATATATAAGGGCGTTCTACCCAAAAGGGATTGGCTAAAACGAAAGACACTGTGCAATTGAAGATACTGCAAGACCGAAACATGTGTATTTTACTATATAAGTGCTCATAACAGACCACATGCATGGCTCAAAAAAATTATCAAGCATAGTAAAATTCACATTATATTAACTCAAATTTAATCTCCGGTGTCTTCATGAAATGAAGCTGGAAAGTGCGTTGATAGAGCTTTTCGAGGAAGTAACGCGATTTTGCTACTTTTCAAGGTAACAGCATTATAATGTGTTCAGATTCCCATTTGACTGGTGAGAAATGCACGTAAAAAGGGGTTCCGTGTACTCGCGAGAACTTCCACAATTGAGGTTTGTATAATTGAGTTTTTCACACGATCATAGCGGTTAAGCTACTACATATTCCCACAGATCGTTATTATACTCCTGACCGAACCAAGGCACTATTCTCTCTGATACGCTGCATCACTAACCATTGCTCTACCTCTGTTCCGCAGGAGTAATGCGCGATATAAGTAGCGACTACTCCAAACCGACTCTAATATATCCAGTACCGCGTTCTCTGACAATTTCTTCTGCACTATTTTAGTCAATTTTTCCTATTTCACATCTCATTTCTGCCAAAAATTAGTGGTATGTTGCAGATTGTTCCAGTAGCACTCGCATAAGACCGTAGCATCATCCCCCACCGTCTAAATGATTTCGGCTAGCACGAAGCGATGTCTCGATGGACGCCTCATGCACTGATCCAACAACGACTGCGCTATACACGTAACCATCTGCGAAAGTCTTCTGCTATGACCACATAAGTAGGGTTTTTTAAAGTCATCCATCACTGTAGATGAAGTCTAAGTCTACTAAGAAAACAACACTCGCCACGCCTATTGGCCGTCGATTCAATCAACCAAATTCCATGTTCGGATGATAAGCTCTCTGTTTCCTGGGATCGGTAAGCATACTGTTTTGGTAATTGCTCGACAACAACTAAACAATTAGTGCGCACGTCCGACACGAAGGATTACTGAGGAAGCTGATCACAGCACTGCAAGAGAAGCGTCCGGAGCAACTCAATAACGTTCTTCTCTAGGACATTGCTCTATCTCACACTGCAAAGTTTCCTCACCATAATTTGGAGAAACTGAGTTGAGCCTCGGTACGACATCTCTCACAGCTCTGATATTTCTTCAAATAAATATAATGTTTTCTGTGCTTTGAAGCAGCATCTGCGTGAGAACAAATTTAAAGACAACGACCAGCTTTGTGACATCACTAACTTCTTTGATGGTCAGCCTCCTACCCTTTGAATGGAAGACACTCAGGCTTTGCTCAGAAAATGGTTTGCATTGTCTGATTGATTTATTTTCCACGAATAGCAAATATATTAGCAATAGAAGTCCGAAAAATGTTAAGGATAACTCAATAGTATTGAGGTGAAAGAACGTTGTACGTGCAAATTAGAAGCTTCTGTGTTTCTAGATTTTCTTGTTATCTCATCTTTCTTTCCTACAGGATCTATTCTATATTTCATCCCATCAGCAGAATGGAAATTGTAAATGATAAGTGTTACAATATTACCTTTAAATACCTTGAACCTTTTTCCAAGTTGTAACTCAGTCATAATGGAGGTACGCGCTTTCCGTTGTCCGTCGCCTTTCATTCTCAGACGCTTGGTACTTGAATTGAAAACAGTATATAGCCATTGCTTCGTTTTATCTTAGAGATGCATTTTGAAAATATTCTGAAACAAATATTGAAAAAAGTCTGCTTTCTGTATTAGAGAAGAACTGATGAGATGTGATAACTGATAATGATAATGGTTAGGAGAAATCAGCAACGGAACTGCTCTTTATTGCCGACTGAAGTGGTCATTGCTGTGAGATTCAGATTTGTGAGAATATTTTCTGTAAACCTGGCGCTTTCCATAGTCCCGTTGATTATGCCCAAGTGGCGGATGCAAGATCCGTTTCATAGTACTCTGTGAATGTATGTGCTCATATACTGATTTTGAGCATGATGCAATAAAAGTGGAATAAACATATAATAAAATAATATAATATAATGTAATGAAAAGTCATCGATGGGATATGGATTTTCTGCGTGATGAATCACTTCACTGTGATTCGAAATCCCATCTTCAAAAGTACATGTAGCAGCAAACCCAAATATTCATCGAGCAAAATGATTTACTTGCGTTGAAAACCACGTGAAAAATTTTGCACCCCGAGAGTACATTTTGTGAGAAATACTTGAATTAAATAGAACCAAATTATAGTGTTGTACGATTCCATTGTGGCATATTTAGTTAGTTAACGTTGATTCTAAACTTTTCGACTCCTCTATATTGAACAATGGATCGAGATAATTGTGCGCGAATAGCGTGAACATCATTTGGGTAAAAGGTCAGCAGTTTTCCAGTCACTTACTAAATGATGACATATTAACATCACTTCTTTAGCAGCCTTATACATGTTTGATAGTCGAGGTCAAGATTGTGTAACAAAACCAAGAAAATTATCATCTAAGATGAACTTATAAAAAGGAGCTATAACTTATACAATCATCTAGTGTCTAAAAATCGCTGAGCGAAACAAATTGTAATAACCAATGCACCAATCAGCCCGCCGATTTCCATCAAAATGAGGCAAGTTTTTAGAAGAGTCATTTTATGTAAACGAAATGTCACGAGGTTTCTGACTAGAGCAATGTATTATTGTGTTTATATAACTCGATTTAATGGAAAGTTTTATCTATCACTTTGATGTTGCCATGGTCACTGTTGACGGAGTGTATTGCTGGGGTTATCACATTGGAAAGAAGAGTAGTGCACAGATCTGGATAAGTAACAGTCATACACTTTATGTGCGACCAAAATTCATTCCGAAGCATAGATTTGCTTGGCTTTACCTCAGACTCCCATAGCTTATCGCGGACGGTGAGGGTCATTTTGAC